GAAAAATAATTTTAATGCCCTAACTGCATTTAATGCACTGAGGTGGGCCTGCAGTTTTGTGTAAAGGGGGATGGGCAAGAGAGGTGTAGGCTATATCCATGAATTCTGGGAGCCTGAGACAGCTCTGCTCTGGAGAAGCTTTTAGGTTTAAATAGATAATCTTTGTCCTTCATAAAAATAATAAAGGTGCATCATGGGTAGCAGCAATCATTTATTAAATAGCTGGGCTTTAACTTTTTAAACTTTAAACCTTAAGTACATACGGTTCCTGAAGCATATTACAAACTGTGAAATTACAGGCTGATAAAGCCAAGGAATTGTAGGAACAGAAACCTGCCTGAGAATGGGTTTCAACCTCTTCACCTTTTGTATGGATTGTTGCACTGGTTTCCCAGTGTCTCTTCCTTTCTCTGTCAGGCTCATCCAAATCCACTTTTCATTTAGCACCAGGGATTTATGTAAACTGCAGCACTGGCCCTACAGCTTTCCTTCTTAAAGTCCTTCAGGATCCTTGCCCACCACCTATAAACCACCCCGGTGGCAAGCCAGGCCCCACGGGTCTGCCCTGCCACTCACTTCATCCCCCTTTCCACTTCCTGCAGCACTCTCTTGAGTATTCCCCAAGGCACTTGCAGCCTTCCCTGTGTCCCTTGACTGTGCTTGACCCCCATTCCTTCCCCTAAGAGTCTCCTCCTCTCTGTTGATCTTTAAGAGAAGTAGGTGCGCTGTATCATTTTCCCCAGTAACCTCATAGTCATACCTCTCTCCCCACATTTATTTATTACGCTATCATTTTTATCTGTTTGGGTGTGTCTCCCCCACTGGACTGTGAAGTTCCTAAGGTCAAGTGACGATATTTGATTCACTTTTAACCCAGATGCGTTAATACCAGGCAGGTAATAAGTACTCAACATAAAATTGTTGAATGATTAAACGTAAGTGCACAGTTACAGTTAAAAATTTTCATTATGTATGTGTCCTAATAATAAAGACTTCTTGGGTAAGATACTTTATATTAATTTGAATGTCCTAACTAAAGATAAGTTTTCAAGACTTGATATGTGCTAAAGAGAGAGAGAATGTAAATTCTCCTTTTAGCTGTGGTATGTGTTAGCTTCTAAATCTTAGTTTTCTAATTTTTAACAGGGATTAAATTTTCCTGTCTGGTTCATTGAAAAAAAATGACCGTAGCCTGAATGGCAGTAAGAAGGTTTCTGAGAAGCAGTTTGGGGGAAAAGCAGATTGCCTTAAATTAGACATGTTCAACTTGAGATAATGTGAAATTTGAGTAGAGGTTAGCAATATGGGACTGAAGGACAGACAAATGAAAGATAACAGAAATGAAGATTGAGCAAGGTGTTTAAAGGCAGTAACTTAAGCCATGGGCCAGCAGTCTTTTTCTCTAAAGGTCCAGATAGTAAATATTTTCAGCTTTGAGGGCCATAAGGTCTTAGTTTTAGCTACTCAATTCTGCTATAACAAGCCCAAGAGCGCCATAGACAAAACATAAATGAATGGTGTGACATGTTCCATTACACCTTTATTGTTGGACACTGAAATTTTAATATCATATAATTTTCACATATCTTGATATATTCTTCTTTTAACTTTTTTTCAGCCATTTAAAAGTGGGCTGGCTGGATTTGGCCCAAGAGCCATAATTTGCTGACTTCTGCCTTATCCTAACAAAATCATTCAAGTTTCAAGGGGGATTGAATAACATACTATAGGGCAGAAGTTTAAGAACTGGATCTTTGAAGCTTAAGAGTTTGTCAGAATCCAGAGAAGGAACAGTTACATGTAGGAAAGGAACTAGTGTACAGTGATGTTATTGAAAAAGAGTTCAAGAGCTGGGTTGTTAGCAGTGTATGATTAAGAAGATAATTAGAAAGATGAGGGGAGAGAGAAAAAGACCATTGGAACTAGTGAGAGGTTCTGATGACTACTGGGAATTTTTTAAAAAACTGTTAGAGGTAGAATTTTAGGAGATAGAAAAGATAACATGTAGATAAAAACTGGAAGCAGTGGGTTAGAACAGTCATGCGAGCAGCTAGCAGTTTAACTCTGAGGCAGGTAGAAAGACAACCAGGGGGGCTACAGTGTTGATTCCTTTTGGTTAAAGCATAACCCTTTATTGAGCTTAGGCTGCTTAGTTATCTCTTGAGATCTGACTCATCAATTTAACAAACACTTACATATGCTTACCATATACCAGGTACTGTTCTAAGGGCTTTATCAATAATAACTCTTTGTTCTCCTAATAACCTTGTGATATAAATGTGATTACCTCTCTTACAGATGAGCAAACCCTCTAGAGAGTCTGTGGCTGGTAATGTGGGTGGGATGCTCTTCGCTGCCGAGCTGTACCATCAAGTTTTCCATGTCTAGGATACTAGAATGTTTTTGTTGCTGCCACTATTACATGGCTAATATTGGAATAGGAAGTACCAGGGATTTATGTATTTTCTGTTGGATGTATAAATTGTGCAATTTGTTTTTTGGTTTTTGGCAGCTGGTTGTTACAGGGACCCAAAACCCTTGACCTTGGTATTGCCAACACTGTGCTGTAACCAGCTGTGTTAACTGGCAGGCCCCCTCATTAAGCAATTTTAAGATACTGCTTCCTACCCTTAGATTTACCACTAGATTGGTATGTAGCCAAATAATGGCATTATCTTTCCACAACTGTGGCTACTTAACATCAGACTTAATATTGAGTGAGAGGAAATTACTCCCTGCATGGTTGTTACTACAGTTCATTTTCTAAGAGGGGAAGAGCACTTCTCTAACTATTCCTGGTGACTAGAAATGTGTCTCTGCCTGACGACTATTTCTCTTTCTTTAAAATGAAAGCCAGAGGAATTCATTGTATAGAGTTTTGTTTTATTGCCATCGCCTCCTTCAAGTTTTTACTCACATCTCACCTTTTCAGTGAGGTCCACCCTAACTCCTATTTAATACTGTCACCTGGCCACCTCCTCATCCTGACACCTCCTTTTATCCTGCTGAACTTTTTCTTTTGTTCATTGCACTTACCACCTTCTAATATGCTGTGTAATTGTAGCTTATTGTCAAACGATGTAAGCCCTGTGAGGGTAGGGATCTCACCTGTTTTGTTCAGTGATTTATTCCAACCGAGTGGCACTTACTAGGTGTTCAGTATTCAATATTTATCTTTTTAATGAATATATCTATGTTCAGATGCCGTTGTGTACATGAAACGCGACATGCTGTAGAGGATTGAGTATATTCAGGGTTTATTTTCTTGAAAGAACAGTTTCTGTTTTTAGCTGGAAGTGTGCGTGGTGATAACTTAACCTCAAAAACTTTGGAATGTGAAGAGTTGCTTATGCTCTACCTGTCTCTAATGTAATGAGCAGGGTGGGGTCACTCTTGCCAATAAATTTGTATTCCAAAGGAGAACTTTGCCCACTAATTTAAGGCAGCTGTATAATCTGATTTACAGTCTCAGTTTTTCACTTGCCATCTGACAATTTAATTACTTTTAAACAAAGCTATGTGTAGGATGAAAAAACACAGATTGGAAATCTATGATAATACATATGGTAATATGTGTATTTTCTTTGGGTTTTTTTGTTTGCTTTTGTTATTGTTCAATAAATAAGATTAAGGGGATAAAAAGATTTGGGGAGGAATCATTCCAAAGCTTTCCCTAGAGGGAGCCCCTTATATAAATGTTATACTTTGACTAAGAGCCTTTGTTATAAACTAAATGTTTTGCATTAGTGGATTATTACATTTTTCCATTCAGTTAAAAGTCTGGCCCAAAGCTATGAAATAAGAAGAGGTTGTCTGAATTGTTTCAAAAACTGTTTGGCCATGAAGTAGAACTGGGGCGAGATGTGAGGAACATTTTTTTCCTTTGTGCCTTTTCGTAATATTTCCTGATGTTTATTCTTGTCCTTTTTGTTCCTATCTCTACTCCTGGAATATGTTTTTCCAGTGCCTACTTATGCACCATTTCTGATTCCTCCATCTCTATTTGTTTCCCCAGAATTCAGGACAGTATATTCAAGTTAAAGATTAACCCAAATAATGTTTGTTTGAGACTGCTACCAGGGAGGGGCAATTATGAAATTCTTGAAACCAGGTGCTTAGGTGATAATGACATTTAAAATAAAGATTTAAATAATTAGAGTACTTTGATCTAATTTCTCATTTGAACTAGGGAAGTAATACTTTTTTTTTTGGAGAGTTGTGGCAGCTAGATGCAAATAAGATCACACTTCGGAACACACAATGCTGATTCTCAATCACTGGCAAAGAAGGGTGAGAAGACAGCATCCTCATTTGCACAAAAATGCCACCAAGTCATCATTTGCAGTTCCTTCTAAAGTTTCACTGCTTGTAAACGTTTCTTTGCTGTGGGAGGCAGAGCCTGGGGGCGTGGTTGAGAAACAATAGTTTGGCTTTTTTCCCCCCCTAAATCAGTTCAAATCCCATACACCCTGAATTAGCTGGAGAGTCAAAGAATCAGCATGGAATTGCTCTCAGACTTGTTGGCTCTTGTAAAAAGATCTGGATGTCCACGGTGGCCTAGTAAAAATGGGGAACACATTTGTTTCATCTTGACTTCTGTAGAGGAAAATCTGTATTATTTTTGTGGACTCCAGAGGGGAGAAACTTCTGATCTGTTGGAGAAAAAACGGAATGAATGAGCACTGAGGCAGAAAGCCTGATGTGGCTGTCATGCAAATAAGAACTGTGATTGGCTTTCTCTTTCTTTCTGTCTACGTTGTCACTGGCTGCTCTCAGCCTTAAAGATTAGGTTTCAGTGGGAGTTTTTCAGGTTCAAGGACTATTAATGGTTTGTAACTGCCTGACAATAAGCTTCAGCCTCAAAGTTAGATCAGCCTGGGCAGATGTCTAAGGATATGAGACCAGAGGAAGAAAGTTAAAATCTGGAGCAGAAGGACACAGCTTGCCACCTGTCTACTAGTCTGAGCTTTTAATGTGATTTATATTTCTAAGCCCTATGTAGGCGTTCTGGAAATGGTGGTCTTCATTAACGCAAAGATCAAGTCTTTAATTAAACTTTTTAAGAAGAAAAGTAAGTAGTTCCTTTTCTCCCAGCTACTTATTGGTATATATGTATCCGTATGTGTTTGTGTTGTGCCTGTATTTTATGTGCTATTTTATCCCTTCAAGTGACGGAATTTGTGTGAAACAGCATAACTGGCATGAGTTGAACTCCATTCTATACCAGGTTGTTTAAATACATAGACTTTTGTAGCTCTAGCATAGTATTATGTAATCTTAGCATGTCTTTTTTATTTATGGTTGGGGTTTTAAGTGAATTCACTTCTTTTGTGCTTCTCAAAAGAAGTCTTTTTAAAAAGGGAAAAATACCTTTGTGTTTACTTTATGTTTCCTTTAATATACAGTGTATGGTATTTTTTTGTTTCTTTGGCTGAATATGCAGCTGAGGTAAGGGAGCCTCTGTGTAATTTTTCCCATGTTGTTGAAGGGTATGAACCTCTAAAACTCCCTGGTGCTCTCTGTTATGTACTTAGGAGCTCGAGGACATGCTGTCTAGACTGATCAGTGATTATTGTAAAGTACAGAGCTTTTGTGGTGTGGCTTTATTGTGTACTTACCATTGGTTTAAATTTCTTTAATCCAGGTGCTTCTTTATTCCCTTGAAAATATAATTTTTACAACTACATGGCTTTATTTTTTACAAGTTTTTGGTTTAGTTTAGTTTAGTTTTGGGAACAATGACTTAAGCTGGATAAATGTGCATGAATAGAGGCCATGGGTAAGATAAGCTTTGGCAAAAGCCACAGAGAACAGCACTCCGGGCTCATTTTATGCAGCTCCCTTGCTTGAAGTCTGTCTTTTGATGGACTGATTAACATCTATGCTGGCAAGAGGGAGGTACACCAGGGAAGAGACAACTACTCTTTCATAAGAGCCAGTTGGTAGCTGCACAGTGGGGCTGATGGTGCGATTATACAAACTTGAATGCCTTTACTCGGATTGGATTTGTAACTGGCAAAGAGGAAAAGTTTCAATTTTCAATATTTTCTATGAAGTATGGTAACTCAATCTTTAAAACAAATAGATGTTAGCACAGAACATTGTAGTGAACTCTGGATACACTTTGGGGGACACGTGGCAAATCTGGCACTGTGGTAGAGTCTCTGAAATGTGAATAAGAGTTAAATCAGAGCTTTGTGGATTTTATGGATTAACAGTGACAGTTATATGCATCATGCAAAACATTTGTGTTTTTAACTTGATGTCTAGCTCTTAATGTCTATTTCCCCATTTATCAATTTATGGAGAAGATGGGATCCTCGAAGAAATGAATCGTTCTTTTCAGATTTCTGGGATTGTATCATTTCTGACTGTGGCTCAGGTTTACAGAGGAGCAGAGAAAGGCATGGCTCCTCCTCACTGATGGCTCCTTTGAAATAATTTCCACTGTCTCTGTCACAGCCATGCTTTACATGAGTTATTTATGAGCTAAGAGCTTTATACCTATTAGTCAATTTGATCTTTACAATAGCCCTAATAACTGTGTTTAGTTACTTTTAAATATGTTCAAATAGATTCAATAGTTCTTGTTTTTTCCCTTTACTTTGAGGATCTTTTTTATGGTTTAGGTTCCAAGTTCACCTGTTATGTTGTAGAAATGGGTGTGCAGGGTGAACTTGATAGCATAAGTCAGAGTCAAGGAAGACTTGCCTCTTCCTCTCAGTTCTAGTGTCTGCTGGTTTTACAGGAATTAGACTTGTCACCTCAAGTAAACGCCTCAGCACAGGGACATTATCTTAGGCTTCTTCAGTGTCTCCTTTGCCTAGGTTACATGGCAGATATATAGAAAGTATTGAAAAACTGTTGAGTTTGTTTTGCTGCTGTTGGCTTCATTTTGGATTTCATTGATGCCCCAATTTAGGTTGTAATGTCAGGAAAAATGAGATAAAGAGGTCCCAAGCCCTAGGAGCATTAAAGGAAAATTATTATAGAGATTTATCTTCATCTCAGGATTACCTATCATTTTCCCCTCTAACAAAACGTTTCGGCCTCGTTTGTGTTGGGAAAGTTCAACTGAATTGTATTGTGCTGAGAAAGTCAATTGCATTGAAATTAAAAAAAAAAAAAAACCCAAAAAACATTTTAATATGAAAGCATTCCATGAAAGCAAGAAATGCAGAGAAAATTTTGTAGCACAAATGGATCTCCTCATCTATTAGATATGCCATTTAAATGTATTAAATTGAATGTTTATGCTTAGTTTTTAAAAAATTTAAATGAGTTTATAACAGTGATGTTTTAAAATAACGCTTTAGAGAGGAAAGATTTGGTTTCAACATGCTGGTAGAAAATTTGTTTCTGCCAGGGCAATCTAACATTTACTGATGCAATGGCATTACGCAATTGATTAACTGATATTTGTTGTGGTGGATTTGGGAAATTGGAGGTCTCTATCAATTTTGTCAATCTTTTGCTAACACTGGAATAGAGGGAGGACCTAAGATGCTGGGAGGCAATTAACTGAGCAAACAATTCTATGAAATCATTGTGTAGATGATGGACAGTTCCAATGTTTCCGTTATAGACAAAACACTGTGGGCAAAGATCCCTGGAGTCTAAGATCAAATCCCATTTAGAATTTTTTCCATTTCCCCCTCGCTGGTCCTCGCTCATGGATGTGTCAGGCATCAAGGCACCATCTTGATGTAATAAATTTGTAGCCAACGAAGCTTAGTTTGAAACCTGAATTTATTCTCTCTTTCTTCTTTAGCGGTTTCCAACCTAGATGAGGAGAGTCGTTGGACAGTCCACTACACTGCCCCATGGCACCAGCAGGAGAATGTGTTCCTTCCCACCACGAGACCCCCCTGCGTTGAGGACCTGCACCGCCAAGCCAAGCTCAATCTCAAATCAGTACTGCGGGGTAAGACGGAGTCCTCTGTGAGCTTGACCTTCTTGGACTACTCACTTGTAAAATTGAGGGTATAAATTTGATCATTGTCTGTAAAAGAAGATCTGTTTATATTGACCGTATAGTATGCTGTGTCTTTTATAAATCATAAATACAACCTAATGCATGCCTAAAATGTTTTGGTCTCTGTAGAAACCTGCCTATTTACAGATATGCAAATCCCACTCCTGCTTAGAAATCTTTTAGTGTGTCTAAGGCACCAGTACTAATTTAATCCAAGTAAACCCCTGCTGACATGGGAAATGTTGCCGCTGCCTTTTAAAAACCATTGTAAGCAAAGAAAGCCAATTTGTTTTTCTGAACAAGTTCACTAGATAAAAGTGGGTGGAAAGGGGACCTATATGTAGACTTTGAAGGAGTGCTAAATGCTTTGATTTGTTGGAACTTGGGTAGCACCCAACTGGGCTCCTCTGAGCATCGGTTCTGTCCATAGATGGGCTAGGTACACTGTGGTCTGCAGTAAACATAGGAAGAGTGTCTTCATATATCTATTTTTAAATTCTCATTTTTACTTCAGCTTGATGTTAGAGAGCAGGTGTGCGGCCAGGAGGGCTCCCTACAGGTGATATAGAAGGGAGGAAGTTTCTCAAGGAGGAAAAAGTGACTTGTAAAATTCAGAAACTTTTCTTAAAATAGCAAACCAAAGTTCTTATTTTACCAGATGCTGCTCCTTCCAGATTTCTCCAGCCATGCAATATTTGGGACAACATATATAAAAGAAGTATTGGTTGTTCATCTGAAATTTAATTTAACTGGGCATCCTGTGTTTTATCTAAGTGTGGAATACTCAAATCTGGGAGAAATTCTGTCACTGATTCGAGCAAAACCCAGCATGAGGAACCCTCTAATTTTTATTTGTATATCAGTCATTTATTAACTGATTCATTCTTTAATATACCTCCACTATGATTACTAGCTAACGTTTATTAAACACCTAACTATAACACCAGGTACTGTTCTAAGCCCATTAAATGTATTATGTATTTAATCCTCATACTAATATTACTGTGTATTATCACTATGCCCAGATGAAGAAATGGAGACACAAAGACTAGAAACTTGTCCAAGATCTCTTAGTTTGCAGCAGAATCAGGATTTAAACGTGGACAGTCTGAGACTGCTCATATTCTTCACTGCTGCACTATATCACATTTAACAACTATTTGTTGAAAATCTGTTATCCTGGCAGAAGTACAGAATACAAAGGCTGTGTCTTAGCTCTCAAGGAATTTATCCTTTTATCTACAGTGCAAATCACAATGTGGACCATATTCAGGAGATGTGCCCAAAATTGCTCTATGGGAATTAAAGAAAACAGATAATTTCTGCTTGGAGAGAAAAGGAATAGCTATGAAGAGACTCACCATAGATTTAGTATTCTGAACAGAACTAAACAAACATTTTAGATCAGAGTCCTTTTTTCTTCCTTTCATCTTTTATAACATGTAGATTATCTTATGTATCTTAACAGTAACTTGTATCATATGGTCTTGGCATTGGACTGTCCAGAAATGAGAGTGTTATTGGGTTCTCCTTTTCACTGAGGCTGAGTAACCTATATATGTTTAGTGACTATGACTTAAATGAGAAGAATGACATTAGTGTGACTTGTCTGTATGGACTTGGAGTTGTTCTTTGAGCTTTGTTGCCTTCGTGATATTGGTTGCTTAATGTGTCCAAGACCAACCAAAATTTCTTCTCGATCCCTTCAGTTCCTAGTGATTTATCTTTAGTAAATTTTGACAAGGAACTTCTTATAGCTCACCTTCCTCCACCAAATAGTAATAGGAATGTTAAATGGCACTGTTCCCAGGACAAATCCCTGAGGCAGTGCCTTGGTAACATTTCTCTGCCCAGCTTCTGAGCAGCTGAGCGCTGCATGGTCTGACTTGTAGAAAACGCTTTCGTGACGGCACGTGTGAGTTTGAATATACAGGTCCAACTGTTTTTTGATCACTCTCCAGGAAACAGTGCTTCACTATGTAGTTGATGTATTTTCAAGTTCCAGATCAGAACTTTTCTTCCTTTAGAAAACTGAGCATCTGTACATAGACATTTTTCCTTTTATTTTCTTTTTGACTATTTATCCATATAAAACATCATTACCACTGGTTTTGCCTACACTTGAATTTTATTTTGAAAAGATAATTGTATTTGTAATTACTTTAATGCCCTAAAATGGTTCATCAAAGGGATTTACTGTTAATAAAATTAAGAACTTCTTGGAGCTCAGCTTTTAAAGTCTGGATTTTAAAACTCTTTGATTTTAGGTAAACAATAACTTTACAGTGGTTGGGAAAAATGAAATGCGGGAGAGTTCTTGAGTTGTTTTGTTCTTCTTCATTTATTTACTTTTAATCACATGTACGGAACTTCACGGACCACTTTGCCTACATCATCTCAGCAACCTGAGATAAACACAGCATGAGTGCCGAGTATTTGTTGCCTCATTATCAGTGAAGATTAAAAAAAAATTCATTCCCTGGATATGTGGCACTATTAAGGTTTGATGTAATGTCGGTTATTAGTCTAAGTTAGTTCAACCTCAACATTCTTCCTTAAACATGTAGAAAGGTAGCTAATTATTCACATTGAGTAAATCTTATTTTTTTTCCTTCTACTCTTCCTGTGACCTGGTCCACGATTTTAAGGAAGGTATACGATTCTTTAATGTTGAACAGGTTGTTGCTTTTTTTTAATCATCATCAAGTACCTGTTGGATGAGTTATTCTGCCAGCTCTTATGTCGAGCTAGGCTTTACTTTTGAGAACCATAAAATGCAGAAAGAAATGATAAGGCAGGTGCTAATAAATTAATAGCTAAGTGTTGTAAGCATGTACTTAATAAAATAATGCAGAAATGATTAGTGGTCAGTGGAGTGACTGAGAGAGGCACAGGTTTACTGGAAAATGTTTTATGAAAAGCTAAGTTTGAGTTAAAGACAGGTAATAGACATAATAGAATCAGTATTTGAGCAACAATTCTGTACTATGCCAGGAGTTTTAAAATAAACTGATGAAAGTTCGTGGGTCCCCAATTTTAAAGAGCTGAGCTTGCTGTCTTGTGTCAAGGCTGAAGCAAACAGGCAGTGGTGTAGTGGAGATGTGTGTGAGGTACAGTGGGCACGTAGGGGGAGAGCTCAGTCAGCAGGGAAAGGAAAGCTTTAGGAGACCCCCACCCCCAACCCCCATGGGAGAGGTGATGGTCTTTCGAGGTGTGTAAAATGGCCTGGGAAGCACCTGGAGCAGCTCATCTTCCATGTGCAATTTCAGACTGCTCTGTTCCAATTATAGCAGAGATCTTTTTTTAATTTTTTATTTATTTATTTATTTATTTTTCCTTTTTTGTCTTTTTTACTGACCGGTAACGGGATCGCAACCCTCAGTGTCGCACCCGTACCGGGGACGGCAACGGGATCGCAACCCTCAGTGCTGCGTCCGCACTGTGCTCAGCCAGTGAGCGGGAACCAGTCTCCACATGGGATCTGAACCCGCACCCCCAAGCGGCACACTCTCCAGTGCGCCACCGGGCCAGCCCAGCAGAGATCTTTTGTATTTATTGATGGATCGTCTCTGGACAATTTGATAAAATTGGTGGTCACACTCTCAGATCAAATGTCTTGGTTTTATTGATTTGTTTTGCTACTAGAGATTTAGGTAGTGATTTACTGCTAATGAAGATACAAACATGAACCTAGATTTTAAAATAGTATTTTGATATATTTGGTGCAACAAGACATCTGGTTAGCAAAGAATAGTGCATTTTTGAAGATGGATCCCATGATCTTTGAAAAATTCACTCACCTTCTTGCTGGATTTCCAGAAGAATTCTATTCTTTTTACCTCCATAATTGTTTGAACCCTTCATGAACTTCACTGGAGATAGCTGTGATGGTAAATAACCCTTATCTAACTAGATTTTAATCTTCATAGTTTTTTAGCTTTACTGAAAGGGCTACAATTAAGTGGGAAAAAAAGAATTGAGGGACAGGGATTGGCTCAATAAGGTTCAGATTTTGTTTCTTTATAATCTATAGACTGCATTTGACAATTATGAGCATATTAAAGGCTGAAATAAAGACATGTCATTTTTACAGCTCCATCCCCCCAAAAAGCCCAACTTGGGAGAGAGAGAACATAATTTCTCACAGTGTGTTTAACAGGCAGCTTAGTTACTGTATCTGTGTACACTGTTCCTGAATTAGTTTACAGAGCATCTGTTGTTGGTATCAGAAGTGTTCTGTAGTCACAGCTCTTCCCTGAAGGAATACATTTTATCAGGTCAGCCTGCTCTATGGCTCTAGAATTAGAAGTGTGAGCACAGGGAGCACTGAATCTGGCCTACATTCATTCTAAGTCAGAGGCTTGTATTTATCATATCTGGAAGCATGGGAGTCGAGGATTTACAATGTCAAAAAAAGACTACCAAGTGATTAAAAACACAATTGTTTTTAACACCAAAGAATGGTTTATCTTTCTTAAAAATATGGACTAGGTTTTCAAGTAGTTCCAGCTGGGTTCCTCTGACAGTTCTTGATACCAGACTCTCCCTGACGGTGACTGTATCTACCTTTCATTGTCATGAAGCCTCCTAGTTCCCTTTAGACCTAGACAAGTAAGTTTGTGTTGGGGGAGGTTGTAGGCTTCCCTCTGGATTGGATGTGAAGGAGCTTTGGCTATTTTATGTATCTGCCTTGGGCTTGTGGGTCCCTGGGATATTACACATGCCCTTTGTCTTTGGCTACAGATTCTCCGCTTGAAAGTCCTGGGGCACTTTTCACAGGGAGATGCCTTTATGGGTATGGCCTTGTGGACACAGATGGAGAGAGCTCTCTCTCCTGGAATGATGCATGTGCCACCACCTCAGGCTCAAAATGAGCATCTGTGTTGCCCTCCTTGAGCTTACCACATTGACTTCTTCATCCTTTTTGCTTCTGTCACTTTTTAAAATAT